CAGTATCCAATTTGAGAGCACCCACAATAATTCGATTCTACTGACCAGTCGTTGGCAGAGAAATCTAAATTGCGCCATCTATTGATCTCCTTGTCCTTCCCGCGATGTTATGAATGCTGTTTTTCTATTGAGTGAACACATTATTTTTAGTAGGGCCTAAGTGTAATTAATGCTTGTTAGCTAATTAAATGGTAATCTGATAATCTTGAATTATGCATGTAATAAAGACCAATAATAGTTGTTGATAATAATAAAAAAAAACTTTCAGGTGTATAACTCAATCCACATTTTTTTAAATTTATGCAAATATGCTAAAGGTCCACAATTCCCCACCCTTACCCTAATAGAGTGTATCTGGCGGTATTTCAATCTGTTCAACCATGAAGCCTCTGTGATCCTACGCTTATGACGCTCACCTTGACAGCGAGACGCCACAGGTTCGAATCCCGTCGGAGAGATTTTATTACACAATTTCTTTAGTCATTTATTTATAGAACTATATTCGTTGAGAGCTATACTACACGATGTATTATCATGTCCTTTACTCGAACACTATATTTACCTTTCTTTAAATTTCTCCCTATTTCCCCCCACCCCCAACATTTTCCCACCCTGACATTCACCCCTCCCCTGACTGTTGCCCCAGGACAATTTCCCCACCCCTTAAATCTTCTCATGTACAATTTCAATTAAACATTTTAATTTATAATACAATTAATGTTTTTTTATTTTTTTTATTTTACTTAATTTTATGGAAGTACGGTACGGTAGTTATTCTTACGGTACTCATTAGTGCAATAAGATAGCAAGACTGATTTGTAAGAAGTAAGTTTTGCTCAGGCTCAGTGTTCTTATTTTTGCCGATTCCAATCTTAAAATATTCTTATTTCATTCATATTTTACACACTTTTCAAACGTACAAAATTATTATTTTACAGCAGTATATTACTGTATTATAGGCTATTATCATTAAACCTATTCCTCCATGGTATTATACATATTCACTTTATTCCACCGTGGTCACACCTAATAAGGATAAGATTTGTTGGTTTGTTTTTTCTATTAAAAAAATTGTGTAATATTAATAGTTGTAATTCATATTGGTTTTTTTTTTATGTCTGTTAATTATTATAATCCATGTTTGTAATAGCGTTATATCATAACTTAATGATTATAATGATACTAATAATAATGATAATAATAATAATAATAATAATAATGTAATAACTATGTAAGTTATGTAAGCAAATGTAATAACCTCGTTTATTCTTTATTGATAATCATTTAATAATAATAATAATAATATAAGAATAATACAAATTTAATATATTTTAAGAGTAAATGTAAATAACCTTGTTTATTATATATATATATATATATAGCATTAATAATAAGATGAAATAGATAATCATATTTATTTTACTTTAAAAAAAATAATTATGTAAAAATTATAGCTTTGTAAGTTTTTACTTTCACTATGATAATTCATTTTTTGCATTAATATTTAGATAGTTTGCTGCCTACATTTGTATAAATATTTTCTATGTAAATGTTGTTACTAGTGCAATTGCTTTAATAATGGTTTTATATAAAAGAATGATAAATCTTGATGCATTCCTTGTATTTAAACTCTTGTTTCATTTAACGCACGATGTAAGGGCAGAGGAAAAAGTCCGGGGGAAATAGTCCTAGGGGAAAATATTATA